GGGTCTGGAACCAACTTCCAAGAGAGGTGGTGCAGGCTCCTACCCTGGGGGTTTTTAAGAGGAGGTTAGATGAACACCTTGCTGGGGTCGTTTGACCCCAGTACTCTTTCCTGCCATGGCAGGGGGTCAGACTAGATGATCTGCTCAGTTCCCTTCCAACCCTAGAAACTATGAAAACACACACTTGGTGAAGTATTGGACAATGGAAAAGAAAAAGCCAATTGCCAGAATGCTATATACTAAAAGCAGATATAGTGCCCCCACTACAGCAATTCCACTGGTTTACACTAAGCATGGATTATACAGTGAAATGAAGTGCTCTTGGTGGCTTCCAGGTGCCAGCTAATAACAATTTCCCACTACATTGAAAGGACTTTGGTCGGATAGTTTCACCACCACTATAATCCACAGCTCTCCTTCCAGGGTGTGGCTAAGATGTCTCTACCAGAAATGATTCAGGGCGTCTTACACATAGCTATGACATGCAGAAGTTTTGTTGTGGCAACAGACACTTAGAAATGGAGCACTTGCCCATAGAGGCCAACGTAAGTAAATAGCTCACGATTCCAAACTACCAAAGCCTGGCAGGGCAAACTAGACTGGGTCGTTCTTCCTACCTTGTAGGCCAGGGTCCAGACATGCAAGGAGAACTGCATCAGGCCACCGCACTCACTGGCAGCCCCAGTTTCTTCAACAGTATCTCAAAACAACCAGCACCCAAATCAGTTTTGACAGATTCTTTTAATATTACAAGTAAAAGCCACAACCCTTATTTTTGTTGCAAGCTTAAGCACAGGGGGATGTTTTCTCCCAGGTATAAATCAGGCACCCCAAGCATTTCATATATATAAGGAAAATTGTTCATATTCCAAGTCAAATCCGCCAAATCAATTCCAAATCTGTGAGTCATTCACAAACCATATGTGGCCCTACTACCGCCAAACATCCTCGAGCCCCCACCTGGGGCTTCAGATGCTTCCAGATCATTTGGCCGGCATCCTACAAGCAAGCCCAGACCCAGAGGCTTGGGGTTCAGATGCCCCCAAGTTTCGTTTGCCCTCGGCCATATATGGCTGCCAGAGCGAGCTAGGGAGGAGTCTGCCATTTCCATAAAGTGGGTGTAAAGCCAAGATCTTCTCACTGGAAATGAAAGTGGGAAGTTAACTATACATGACTTCCCCCGGGTACTATCCCTTGCCAAAAAACGGACTACGAAACCTCCCCTTAGTGGGCATGGTGTTTCCCCTCATATAAGACAAGCTTTGGCGGGCTGCAGCCCGTTTCACCAGATACCGTCACCCTCCGACAGCAAACGCTTCCTCAGTAGGAGCTGGGGCAGACAAGGCTGGGAGCGGGCAAAGCCAACGCCGGCAGAGGGTCCCATAGCTACAAGCAACACGAGACGAACGGCAGACGCGCGCAGCCCCGCCTCCTCCCGGCGCCAGCCCCCCCCGTTCGAAGCCCACGCGCCGCAGAGCGCCGCACACGCCGGCTGCGCCTCATTGGCTCAGCCCCTGGAGGTGGAACGCTGCGACACCGTGAGGAGCGCAGCGCGCCTGCGCAGCGCTGCCTTGTTTCCGTCCGGGCGCTGGTGGCCGTTCGTCGTGGCATGGCAACCGTGGCCGAGCTGAAAGCGGGTAACGGCTTAGTGCTTGCCGGGGTTCGGGGCGTGACCTCAGCCGCCTCCTGCCACCGGGCGGCCATCCCCCCGGGGACAGCATCTTCCTGCAAACGCCGCTGCCCAGTGGCTTCCCCCGCCTGTGCGGGTCAGAAAGCCCGAGTCCTTCCCCGCGTGACGCAGGAGGCGGCCTGGGTTTTGCTTTGTTGTTTCACCCTGAGCCCGGCCGTATTAGCGTGTCTCCGAGCAGCTGGCCTTGAGATGAGAGGCTCAGGTTTCTTTCCTAAGGGCCCCGGGTCTGGCGGATCTAGAGAAACGGCTGGAGAAGGAGCGGAGTAAGCAGTGGCAAATCGGTAGATCTCAGGATTATGTCGTCTCTAAAAACCAAAGCGTGTTGCCTGTGTTGAAATAATCAGCACCATGCGCAACTGGTGTCGCCTTAGGGGGGTACTTGTGCCCCCAGCAACCAGTCAGTGACCAGGGGCCCCCTGTGGCCAATCCCACAAATCGAGGAGCCCCCCCCACCATCGCCATTCACTAGACAGCTGATCGCTGCAGCTGCTTCCAGAAGTGGTGAGCGTGGCCAGTTGGGGTGCATCCCCATGCACGTCCTACACGTCGCCACTGATCAGCACCTAATCAATCATGCATTGAAATAATTTGATTTTCCTTGAGAGAGGGGGACAGCTCATGGGGTTTGAATGCAGCCCAGGGCCAGACACAGGCATGGTTGAACTGGGTGGCAGACAGAAAGGGGGCCCGAAAATGGTAATGTTTATTATTATTATCATTATCTCTAGCAAAGGGGGGCTTGATACTAAAAGTTTGCCCAGGGCCACCAGGAGTACAAGTACAGTGCGGGTGCAGCAGCTTGGCCGTACCACCATCTAGGAGCCAGTGGGAAATCAGATAAAATGGGGGTATGTTTTGACTTGCTAAACCAGGATTTTTGTGAGTGATGGAGTTTTTAATTTTGGAGCAGGGCAAATCAACAGGGTTTGAACAAAGTGAGTCTTGGCACCTTCCTTATGCAGCGGTTTCTATCAAATCTGTTTTTGCTATATTTGCTTTTAATCAGTGTTCCAAAAAGTTAGCACAGTTGATATTATTTTTTTAATCAGTGGGATTCTCTACAATTAAATTGGGCAACAATTTTAAAATGACACCCTGTAATAGAATATCTTTGTATGTGTTAACAGTTCTAAAGGACACACTGGAAAAAAGAGGTTCGCTAGGACAAATAAAAGCAAGGCTCAGAGCTGAAGTCTTTAATGCGCTGGATGACCAGAGTGAACCACGACCACCATTATCTCATGAAAATCTCTTAATCAACGAATTAATTCGGGAATACTTAAACTACAACAAATACAAATATACAGCATCTGTCCTGACAGCAGGTATTTGGTTGGTGTTTGGGTTTCGCTGTCTTAATAGAAAACTAGCCTCATGTTTGAATCACTATTATGTAATGATGCCATAAGTATATAATCAAGATGTAAGAGAGGCTTTGAATTGGGCTGTTCTTGGCATGGCTCGTAAAGTTTAGTAGAAGTACGATGTAGACAGCACTAGTTATTTCTATCAGGCATCTAATCAGATGATGACAGTCTCTGTGCAGTTGTGTCCAGTTTCCTTCCCACATGGCAAATGCTATGATATACTGATTGATCCGTGGAAGAGGAAGACTCTCTAAAGCAAACCTAACAGCTTGCAGTCATGGACAGGAAAACATCCATGCAGGATGGACTTTGTTCCGTGTACTGCATGTCCTTGGAAAGGAAAGTATTTCCACGGAAATGTCATTTCTCATTTCAGAAAATGGGTACAGTACATTGAAATCATATAGTGCCTTAGATATTTCCACTTGATACCAAGTAATGTTAAGTGAAATTATTATAAATAAAGGAATACAAGTTACTTGTAGACAAACTAAAGTAACAGGATCAATTAAATGAACCGTTTTCTCACCTTTTCTAGTACTGTTGATACATACTGTCTGATCACATCTGAGGTTTGGTTAGAAATGCTTACTAAAAAGAGTGGATAGTATAAAATAACTTTTAAAAATTCAAGCTGTTACAATTAAGCTTTTTTCTGGTCTTGACTCTGATTCACAAAGCAGTACTTGAAAGCCATGTTGTTTAATTACACAGCTGTAAATTAAAACACTGTCCATAACACATAGCAGTTATTTCTGAAGTAAACTATCTTTGTTCCCGTCCATTCTGGAATTATTGCTTCTGATTTCTATATTAAACACAGTATGGCAGAAAAGTGCAATGGACTGTAATTGTGCATACCCGTATTACTTAAATTTGAAAAATTCAGTAATATGATATATGTGCATATGACATTACACTTACATCCTCTTTCTCTTAAAAATGTGTTAAAAGCACGTGTACCCCAGTGTTTGTCTTGAGGAGGAGGGAGACATCCATGTAGCTCAAGAGTGTTGACTGTGGAAAACATATATAGCAGTAAGCCATATGGGAAGAAAAATAATTTATTGAGAACTTCTAACGTATTTTAAAATTCTGATTTTTATTACATTTTTCCCCCCTAAGCCGTGTAGTAGAACCATAATATTGTTAATGTATTAGAATAATTTACATTACAATATTCTGAATATTTGAATGAGTGCCTTCAAGAAAACAGGAAATATCTATTTAGCACGTTTCTTATCTGTGTATATCTTTAGACTGTTGCGGAAATGTTTTTATTTTTCAGAATCCGGTCAACCTGAAGTGCCACTAGATAGACAGTTTCTTGTCAATGAGCTGAATGTAGTTGAAGATCAAAGTGGAAGATCAGTGTAAGATAACTTGAAAATGCACCGCACTGTATCTATGTGGGCCACGTTTATCTGCCTGCTTTTAAAATTAATATGATTTATCATTATTATTAAAAGTGCCATGTAACTTCTATTTACAGTCGTAAGACTGGATACGTGTATTGTCTCTGGAGTAACTGGCGTACATTTTGCACCTAGAGAAGTTTGATTCTACTCTGCACAAGTATATTATCACAACCCCTATAATAAGATGTATTTCTGGGTTTAATAGTCTGTATGCCAAACTCATGTTTTACCCAGTTTATATTAGTCTTCTGGGATAACACTAGTCACAGATACTAACCATTATAGATCTGTTTGTCGTATATGACTCTCTCACATCTTTCAACTAATTTAAAGAACAGTGGCAAAATCTAATAGTCCGATACATGCCTGCAGTTTTGTTATTCTCCTGGACATGACTACATCTACAAACCACTGAAGTTGCTATAGAAACTTGATCACTATGCTAAAAAAACAAAGTTAGGGTTTTCTTTTTACTTAATCTGATTTGTACATCCTCCCTGTAAAAGGAGAAAAAACCAAATGGAAATTCCTCTTTACAAAATTAGAGTGCTATGTTGCTTATAGAATGTGAATAGAAAAGAGTGTTAGTTGTGACTGAAACGGAAGTGATAAACCTGGACTAAAGGCACAGAGTTTTGAAGTAATTATGCTAACAAGATCTGTATGTAGTTTGGGAATGAACACTATGGATTAACTTGCCTGTTTTTTTCTTAAAAAAGACGTTTTATGTTCAACACTTCATACACTATATATGCTACTTTTCTTTCTGTTTTTACAGACCTCTCTTATATGGAATTATAGCTCAGTTTTTACATGGTGGTAAAGAAGAAAGCATCCATAACGCACTTCCAAAAAGATCTTCACAGCAGCTTCCAAAACAGAATCTCAGCAAACCACATAATGAAAGAAAAAGAATAGGTTTGTATATCTTTCTCTGCAGCTCCAGTTTTTGATTTTATCTACGGAAGTTTGTTAGCTCTCTTCAAAGACCAACTGTAACCTAAAATAAAACTGTAAAATAAAATCTCTTCGTGCTTCAAGGAGCACACAATAATTATTTATTCCCTTTGGAAAATATGGAATTGCGAAGTAGAATTTGATTTTCCAGTCTCTTGACTCTTTAACAAAACTTATCAAATAAAGTTAACTCAGATGAAAGTAGTTGTTGCCATAGACACATAGGCTGCTGACAGACATGAAAGGAAAAAAACAGCGCTTTACTGGAAGAGGAAGCGTGTCGGTTTGACCCAGCTTGATTCATAGATTTCATAGACATTAGGGCTGGAAGGGACCACAGAAGATCATTGAGTCCAGTCCCCCCTGCCAGAGGGGCAGGAAGTCAGCTGGGGTCATAGGATCCCAGCAAGATAAGCATCCAAATTTCTCTTGAAGGGGTTCAATGTGGGTGCTTGAACCACCTCCAGTGGCAGGCTATTCCAGACCTTGGGGGCTTGGACAGTGAAGAAATTCTTCCTTATGTCAAACCTGAAACAGTCTTGCTGGAGTTTATAACCGTTCAACCTTGTCATCCTTTGGGGTGCTCTGATGAATAATTATTCCCCCAGATCCTGGTGAACACCTCTGATAAACTTACAGGTGGCCACCAGATCACCCCCGAGCCTGCGCTTTTCCAGGCTAAATAGCCCCATGGCTCTCAGCCTGTCATCATAAGGTCTGTTTTCCTGACCTCTGATCATGTGCGTGGCTCTCCTCTGCACTCTCTCAAGCTTCTCCACATCCTTTTTGAATTGTGATTCAATCAGGTATTAGATAAAAGTGCCAAAAAATGAAGCGTGTGATCTATATAGATGTTAGGCAATCTGGGTCAAACTGAGGCAATGCCTCTTCTGGGCATGCGCTGCACTTGGTGCAGGGTCATGCTGAGCTGAAAGTAAAGCGCTGGGTGTTTTGGGGTCTTTTCATGCCTGTAAATGGCCATAGTGTTTTTCCTATGACTTTGTGCCACCAGATGGTGCTGAAGCAACTTCATTCCAGCATAGAAACTAGGCTTCTTTGAGGTACTGGTTCTTCTCCCTTAATTAAGTTTCAGTCTGGGAAATATTTTATCAAGGTTCTTAAAATTAAGTTCAGTGATTTAGCACAGTTAGTATGAACAAGTGTGAATTTATGTCTGTTTTGAAATTGACTCCATACCAGTCTGTCCCCGGACCTGTTCAGAGCTCTCTTGCCTCCGATAGGGTGCCACAGAACAGGATACGTGTGGAGTCAAATGCAGCACCAGAGTGTTAATTATAGGACGTCATGACATTGTTTGAAAGATTTGGTCAATCTGTCTCTGTAGAGCAGGCTGATTTGCAAATAACAGCTAAAGAAGACACAAGAATAGTTTTAAAATATCAGAGATTCAGGTATTTAATTGTGCAGTAAGTCTTACTATGGAGATGGGAATTCAGCCAAGGAAATGAATTTCAGCATTTGGGAGCTATTTCTTCCTTTTTATAAGTTCAGCTTTTAATAAGGTACATCTGTGCAGCAGTGTAAGAGCCGACCCTTATTTTTTGTGTCAGAAACATTCTTGCTTTCTTTTTAGAGTTCTGATGCATCTTTTTTGTGAAGTCTTTAAGAAAACAACAGGGGGGCTCCTGCTAAGTGCTCCAAGTTTGAATATTATTCAGACAGTATTTAAATTTTATTCATTCAACATCAGTTGAAACTGCATTTCAGATCTGGCTAGTAACAAGCCAGAAGGCTCGGTGTCTCTTATTCTCTTGTACAAATATTATAGCTGTTTAAATAGAATGTTATAATGTATAAATGTTAATACAAAAACAAGCATAAATGAGCTTCCTTGTCTCCTGCTACTATAAACATAGTGTGTTGAGAGTCAAATTACTAAAATGTTAGCAACTAACATTTGCATCTCCACTGAATATGCAGATGCATAAGTACTTATACTATATCTTATGTTCATTTCCAGAGGGAATTCCAGAACCAGGGAGGATGGCTGGCACTCGCATTGAAGACCCATTTATTTTACGGGGTGCAAACAGATGACGTTTTTGCCTATTTAATTCAGGATTGGTACAACCTCTTCCTTAAATAGCTGTTCCTTACTGAAGACGGCTTATGGGCTTCCATGGAACTTGCATGAATAATGACTGTTTGTAATATTGCGTGACTAGGTTTGCATGTATTTGTTGCCGGAATAAATGGCATTAGCAAAAGGTCCATTTCTGCAGTGCTGATACAGACTGTGCTCCCATGGAGGTCCAGGATAGTCATGCCTCTGTCTAGACTACTGGCTATGAAATGTTAGTTGTCAGGAATAAGAATTAGCAGAAATAACTAAACATTTCCAGCACACACTGTATTTATTGCTTACAGTACTACTTCTGCATTTGTGAATAAAAGCTGACTTTATTTTCTATTTTATTCTTACAGTATTTGGCATGCGCAAGTCCATCCTTAGTATTTTAAGTATTTGTTCAATAGGAAGTGGCAAGGCTGCATCTTTCAGATAATCGGTGGAAAATTAGCCATGAAAACAAAACTGAAATGCTTTGGGGAATACTTGTTACATGTCCAGAAACAGGGACTATATTTATCTTTATGTTGAACAGTGTTAAGCCTCCTTTCCCAACTGGAGTTGTCATAAATTGTGTACAGTTAGCATTACAATAAGTATACAATATGGGTGTAGGCTCAGGGTATTTTCCTGAGGTCATGGAAATAAAAATCAGACTATTAAAACCAGAAGTTCAGTGGCCCACAGATTCCCAGATGTGTCTTTATTTTTCCCATCTTCTTAAAATTCCCAGACTGTTGAAAGGGTATCTCACAGCTGTGTATACGTCTTTCAAACTGAGTTCTACAGAATGTATAGGTACCTAAAGTTTGCAGTGCATTCAAGTAGGAGTTTTGTGAGAGTAAAAGCTGTAGGCTTGGACCCTTGCTGTTTTATCATTTTGGGCAGCATGTGAACATACTGGGGGGAGATGAGTTGGCAGTTCACTACACCCATAGGAGAGAACAGTCAATGCTTCTACAATTGCCAGCAAATTTTGCTGCTACAACTTTCTTATTTCCAGTGATATATTTTTAAGTGAAATCACATACACAAATAACAGTTATGAGTTGACAAAGGAGACGACTTAGCCATCTTCAGTCAGAACTGAAAGGTCAGTTAGCCTGTTTGACTGGCCTGTTCTATCATAGAATCATAGAAAATTAGGGTTGGAAGGGACCGCAAGAGGTCATCTAGTCCAACCGCCTGCTCAAAGCAGGACATGCCCAACTAGATCATTCCAGCCAAGGTTTTGTCTACCCAGGTCTTAAAAACCTCCCAGGATGAAGATTCCACGACCTTCCTGGGTAACCTGTTTCAGTGCCTTACTACCCTCTTTGTGAGAAAATTTTTTCTGATATCTAACGTAGACTTCCCTTGCTGCAACTTGAGCCCATTGCTCCTTGTTCTGTCACCTACCACCACTGAGAACCTTCCACTTCTGTTCACTTTGGAACCCCCCTTCAAGTAATTAAAGGCTGCTATCAAATCCCCCCTCAGTCTTGTCTTCTCCAGACTAAAGCCCAGTTCCCTCAGCCTCTCAGAAGTTGTGCGCCCCAGCCCCATTACCATTTTTGTTGCTCTCTGCCAGGCTCCCCAATTTGCATCATTTCTGTAGGGAGGGGGCCAAAACTGGACACAGTACTCCAGATGTGGCATCACCAGCGCTGAATAGACAGGAGTAATCAGCTTCCCTTGACCTGCTGGCAACACTCCTACCAATGCTGCCTTGCATGCTGTTAGCCTTCTCTGCAACAAGGGCACACAGTTGGCTCACCTTCAGCTTACTGTCAGTTGTAACCCCCACCCCCAAATCCTTTTCTGCAGAGCTGCTGCCCAGCCAGTCAATTGTTCCACCCTAAGTGCAGGACTTTGCACTTGGTCTTGTTGAACCTTATGAGATTTCTTTTGGCCCAATTCTCCAATATGTCTAGGTCTCTGAATCCTAGCCCTACTCTCCAGTGTATCTACTACTTCCCCCAGCTTGGTGTCATCGGCAAACTTGCTGAGGGTGCACTCTGTGCCATCTTCCAAGTAGTTGATGAAGATGTTGAAGAAAACTGACTCCTGGGGCATTCTACTTGATACTGGCTGCCAAGTAGACATTGAGCCGCATTGATTACCACCCTCTGAGCCTGATGCTCCAGGCAGTTTTCTATCCGCCTTACAGTCCATTCATCCAGCCCATACTTCCTTAGTTTACCTGCAAGAATGTTGTGGGAGACTGTATCAAAAGCCTTGATAAAAATCAAGGTACACCACATCTACTGGTCTCCCTGCATCCACAGTTCCAGTCATATCAGAGGTGACATTTAGGGGGTGCACCCCCTACAAAAAAAGTGCCATCGACGCTCGCCACACCACCACTGACAGTGTCTGCAGGCAGTCCATGACCCCACTGGCCACCATTGCTGGTGGTGGCTCTGGGTGGTTGCCGACCCCTGGTCGGCACTCGCCACCAACAGCACCGGCAGTGTCTGTGGGAGATCACTGCTTGCCGCTGTCACCTTGCTCCCACCGCTGCTGTGCCCCCCCACCTGCTGGGGACATAAGTCCTTCATGCTCATCATAGAAGGCAATCAGGTTGGTCAGGCATGACTTGATCATCCTCCATCATATAGTACTTAAAAGTTTCTATTAAGCACCCTTGTGCTTTCTTCTGTGCTGTCTCTGACACGGGGAGAAGCTCCCTATAAATATTTGCAAAGCCACTTTGTTTCTCAAATCCATCACACCACCTTTGACGTGGTGTCTGCCAAAAAAAAGAGAGGCTGCTGAATACTGGTTAGCCTACCCCCTGTACCTCCTGGTCTGTCTTTATCTGTAGTTTGCATTTCCTACAATTCCTAGTGTAGTGGGATCCTGGTCCTTAACTAGGGCCTTAGGCTGTCACAGTGTTTGACACTTATTCATGCTGAACACAATTCATAACATAATATGTATGGGACTCTTTTTTTTTTTTTAATAGAGTCTGTCAAAATAGAGTAGTGTAATACTCCTCTAACATAGTTAAGAACTTGTATTCAGTTTTAGAATGAGCATGAAACTCTTAAATGAGAAAAAACACATTTCTTGAACAACTCAGATATAGCGTAGGCTTGGTTTTATACCTTAAATTGCTTCTAGCTTTTAATTGCATGACAGGAGAGAGAGTGACAAGAGCCTCAATACATCTACAAATGTCATCTCAGTTTGCATCCTTGATGAGCAGGGAGTTTAGGTCATAGAGAACAGTAGCTGTCATGTCTCCCACCTTATTTGAAACCATGGTATAATGGACCACTTTCTGCTGCCTTCCAGCACATTTCCTGCAGAAGTTGCCTCTGACTGAACAAGGGCTCCAAAAGGAATTCATACTAACTTTGTGTTAAACAGCATTTGGGCAATGTCATTACCATAGAAGGAGATGAGGAAGCTGGGATTCTCCTCTCCCCCAATAGTCCTGTATGTAAAGAGGACTGTTGAGGCCTAGATTGGAAGTGCATGCTCCAGCGAGTTGTGAAATGGGGGTTTAAACTTGGATTCAACCCCGAAATCCATTTTGTCACAATCAAAAGATAAAAGAGACTATTCAGGAGTTACAGGGAGCTAGCTTCACGAAAATGAAGGTTCTGCACTGCCTTGGTGTTTAGGAGTTGCCACATTTGCTCAATCCAACACAACTATGTTTCTTTTAATATTTTTAGAAGCACAAGACATGATTTTTTTAACATGAAAATTAATCAGAGAAACTAACACATGTATAAGAAAGTCTTGGAATTATTCCATTAAAATGTACCAGCCCAGCCCCAAAATTCAGCATGCCCACTTTTAATATGATAAATACTAATGAAATACAGGATCACCATTCAAGATCCAGATTTGGAGAGGACCCTCTTCTCATTTGTCTACATTCTAATTCAAACTCTTACATAAAGTAAGCATAGATTTGTTAAGTATTTCTCAACAGAAACTTAAGGTTTGTTTAAAGAAAAACAACCCAAACTCTTAAGTTACATATTCCTAAAAAAGATATCCCTCTACATACTATATAAACAATTCGTTTCCCCAGTTCTTTAAAAATTTATTCTAATGTTTATTCTAATCACAGACCTTGCATTTTCTGTCCAAGTTTCCTATAGAAATCAGAAAAATCCTATAAATAGACTTAAATGCTTAAGTTGAAAAAGGTCTCTTTAAAATGGGCCAAAATGCTTTTCCAAATAATTTTGAAGATTGGGTGCAGTAAATGTGAGCATTATGGATGAAAATGAATTTCTTACTGAATCTGTTCTGTGTATAGGTCTGATATAAAACTAAGGTGACAAGGAGAAGGAGCACTTCATACAGATATCAGATCTGGAATGTCCTCTGGAACAATGTAATGCAGAAGAGAAACCTGTTTGTATCCAAATCTTTGCTGTCCCTTAAAGTCAGAGGAAGCTACATTAATAGGATCCACATCATGGATGTAATTTCAGAAGTATTAGTTTCTGTCAATTATAGAGAATAATTTTCCTATTTGTGCCACCACATTTCATGAGTTCAATTTCATGCTCCTTTGGCACCTATACACCATTTAGTCATGCCAGACTTGGTGCTAGATTGGTGCCAGACAATCCTTTTACCGGATGAGTGATTATCACTTACTGATAACTTGCAGAAAAAGAAAACCTGAAAAACCACTCTCAAAGAGCTTCTTTCATTAATCGCCAGTCTTCAAGTGGCTTAAAATTGACCTGTTTGATCCAGGGAGTATAAGCACATCAGGTCAATAAGGGCTCAGTTCAGCAACATGCTGATAATTCTGGCCCAAATTCAGCATTAAGTATGTAATTAGCTTATGAACTCATTGGGACAAATCATAAGCATAAGTATTTTATTGGACTGAAGGCAAGCTGCTCCTCACCTTTCGACTTGCGTAAGCTCAGAAACATGCTGCTACGTAAACTATCTTGTTAAAAGGACCCACAACACACTGTAGTTTCCAAACCTGTTAACAATATCTTATGCGCGATGACATTAAAGTTTTGTTAATGTGTTGCAGTGAAAAAGTAAAAGTTCGCGAACAGCATTTCATATCGATTGCTTAGTGGAAAAAACAGATTAGCAAGTTCCATTTTTATCCCTAGCAAGACCAGTCTATTCCATTCTTTCTTCTCCCCATCAGCACATAATATTTGGACTGCGAATGCAAGAACAACATTTTTAAATCCAGACTGCTTGTTTTTTTCCCCTGGAAAAAACATGTCTTTTTTTAATATTTGTTCCATGTTTGAAAACTAGATATAGGGTTCTCAGCTGACAAAGTCTTAAATCATGAAAACATGGTAACAGAACACTTGTGGAAATCAACCTCCTCTACTTTGAAAAAGTTAAAGCCCATTTTCCACATTTGTTTGATAAAAGCTGTAATATTTAGTAAACAGGTGACTACTATCCCATGATCATGTGTTATTCTATTGATCTTTTCCCATTTTTAGTTTTACCTTGTAACCAATGCTTGCAACTCAAACTCTATGCAATTAGTACATGGCTTTTGGTTATAACTATTCTTACATTTTTCAGATATATTTCATGTCACATAAATCACTCACCACCATTCAGTCTGTTAACCACGCTGCTCAGACAGCAGCCTGCACGCGTGCCCATGTAGCTGATGACAAAATAGGAGGAGTAATTTCCATTCCTTTTTAAGCTACTTGTCATGGGGTGGGGACCTAGGAGCTGCCGTGATCTCTCCTAGCACTGACTACCATGCCAAGTCAGTGTCAATGCACCCTCATTCTTGCCCACCACATCTTTGCTGGTATTAGTGTTATGGGAGGCTGTCTTTTTCACCCCTTGGACATGGTACCCCAGATGTATCCCAGTCTGGGGCCCATCTTAGCTGTCTCTGTGCGCTAAAGCCTTAAGGGCTACGCATGGCTCCTACCACCCCGATACCACGCCCCACACCTCGCATATGTACCAGCCATTGGTCTAGGCAAATCCCTTACTGCATCCCCTCGGACGCTCCCTGGCCTCTCTCTTCTCAGAGATGCCCACACTCCCCACGGATGCTCCCTGGCCGTGCCTACACCAGGGCTCTCTCTCTCTCGGTCCTGCCCGCACTGGGGCCCTGCCTCACAGCCAGGGCTCCTCACCTGTGCACCACCCCCTGGGGCTCCTCTCACGCTTGGGGCTCAGGTGGCAGTAGCCGTGCCTAGCCCCCACTGCACTGTGCCCCTTCTCAGGGCTGGGGTCGGTGCACCCCCTCCTCAGGTCTACAACACCTGTGGGGCTCAGGCAGCCTCAGCCTTACCTGGCCCCAATGCACTGTGCCCCTTCTCAGGGCCGGGGTCAGTGCACCTCTAAAATGCGGTGCCCTCTCTGGCACCAGGGTCCCCACACCACTGTGGAGCCCCTATGAGGCCTCCTCCAACCCCTGTTAGCCTCACCTGGTCCTCCAGTGTAACAAACAAAAGCAATAACATAAGCCAATCGGCTACAACTCAAAACTAAGCCTCCTGGCTAAAACACAATCTGTGAACCACCTGGCTAATCATCATTCCACTCCCTACCAGGGCTTTCTCCTCCCAGTATCCTCGAGCCAAAGCTATTCAGGCCATCAAGCAGCTCTAGGCTGCATACTCCATCAGAGGCCATTCTCCCTTAGATGTTAATGGGGAACTGCCTGCTTGGGCTCAGCCTGGGCTGTTTATATAGGCCAGGCCCTGCCCCCTTCCAGTCAGCTGACCGAGCTGCAGTTGCCCTGGCAACCGGCACCTGTACCTTTTCCTAGGAGCAGGGCACAGAAGTGCCCTGCAACACTACTATTAAAATATATCTGTATTTGTGAAACATCTGGATGGGTGAATAAATAATTTTGGTGAATGCTATAGAATATGATCATACTTGTCAGAGGCCTCCCCTGCTTATTTTTCCCCTTCTGTTTAAAAGCTGAAAAGCAGCAGAAGAAATGTAACAAATAAGTAAATTAGCAGAAAATGTGTCATCAGGAAGAGCCAAACCTTTAGGTTTTACATCTTGGATTGGACATCTTGCCTTGACTGGTGTAAACTGTTGTCTTCTTGATTTTGGTCAGGTTTTACATGGTCATAAATAACCACACAAAAGCAAGGCAGCAGGGACACTCAACCTACATCTGTAACTAAAGGATCACCTGCCTGCATTGAAAGCTCAACTTTTCCAGAGAATGACCAGAGGTGGACAAGTAACTTGCCTGTATGCACATTAATGTTGTGAAGTATTACAACTAAGCTATTTGCATATAACATCCCCTTCCTTATTTGCCCAGTTGTAATGATGGTGCAACAGTTGGCAGAGAGAGCACATGGGCCTCAGTTCATGGCACCAGGATTTTTTGGTAATTATTTTGGTAATTATTTTGACACAACATGAGATGTGTACTGCCCTGCCTCTTTTCTCAGAGGCTCTTCCTGGAAAACCCAGCCTGGAATAGAGCTGCCCTGTCTTTCTCAGGGAGGGGGTGGTTATTTCTGTGGGAAGAGAGAGCTGCTTGGAGTCAGTAGCAACCATTTCACTCAGGATCATGCTCTGGTTCTCTGGGTAGATCAGTGCACCATATTTAGTCTGCTGCTGTGTGCGGGTAGCTTCAGTATTTCATATCTGGTATGCTGATGGGTATTCCTGGAAGATCCCAGCTTTCCCTTTTTGGGATGTCTCCCAAGCACAGGTCTTGCTGAACAAGAGTCCTGACTACGGAGCTAGGGACTGAAGGTTTCACGGGAGGTTGACAAGGACCAGATTCTCTTCCCCCCCAGCCCTGGTCTGGCTCCAAGCACCTTGTCCTCCACTCCCCTGGCAGCTGATGCTTCCTGTTCTTTCCACGGCATCCTAGGGATGGTTTCCCTTCAGCCCTTTATCAGTCCTCTTCCTTTTATGGACAGAGGGAGGTATTTTTATATTTAAGAGTTATTTACAATACTTTCTCAGGAACCCAGCTCAGCAGTAAAAACCCACTTCTGCAAATTCAGTAGGGAGCTGGGAAAAATAACCCTCTTATTCCCCAGAGACAGACAGGACTTAAAACAGCCCCAAGCCCTAAATGTTACATAAACACAAGACACAGAGAGACCTCCACCCCCACACCCTGGCTGTCTTGGGAATAACTTCTCTCTCCACGACAGTCCCTCACAGGGAACTCATCTGAACTCCACATCCACATCTCACAATGGGACTTCTGTAGTTACAGCTCCCCCATGATTTGGCTTCTGCTTTCTTGCTGGACTGTCAGCTGCCTGGGAGGCACAGATATGGAGGAAAGGGTTAAAAGGCTCTTGTTTGCTTGATCCAACACATAAGTTCCTTCTGGGAAGGGGCAAAAAAACTGTGACTTTCAAGCAGTCCCATGTACCATTCCATGTGCAAGCAAATGTTAGAAAACAAGGGGACGGACTGATACAGCAAGTCTGTTTCTTCTAAGTTCAGACATGTTTGGAGGCAGAGTCGCCAACCCTAAATTGGGCTTCTTGATGAATGAGGTTCTTGGCTGATTCTCTTTCTTTTTTAACCCAGGTACCAAGAGGATTTTCCAGCAGGAGGTGGTTCCCAGGGCCCCTCCCCACTGACAGAAGCACTATATAGGGAGGCTGCAAAGGCAGAGAGGATTTGGACTGTCCCAGCTGTTAGCTGTACAGGTTCCGGACTCTCCAATTCACTCCCTGCTTCCCTAATTGGACATCTGTAAGTACCACAATGACTAAAGGAGTCTCCTGCTGGGGGAGGGAGCTGGGACTGAACAGAAGTCTCCAACATTATTATTTTAGTGGCCTAATTTACTATGCCTGTTTGGAGCAGCAATTAGTTATCTAAAGTCAATTTGGTAATTCATTCTTACTAATTTACCTTCCAGGTAGTAGCAGACCTACAAAATATGCTTGTTGGCCTATTGCAAACAGAGCATTTGACTTTTAAAATTCACCATAATATTGTAACAATTTAAAGAAATTGCAAAAAATATGCTGAGAAACACGTTAATTGTATTATCACTGGGTGATCTATGCCTATTTGTAGGGAAAGAGTTAAAAATGGGTGCAGAAATTTGTGCAGCCTAACAGCACTTTGAAAAATTAAAGCACCATTTTTCCCTCCAAAGAATGTCAGGCACAAAAACTGCACATAAGTATCCAGTAAAAAGACCACTATAGTAAAAGAAGTGAGAATGGAGTAACTGGTTTTGTTTAAAAGTGCTTATATAATATTCAGTACTACTAAGAAAAGCAATTGGCTGCATCATCTCAATGTTTATGCTTTTTATTAACTTACTGATTAAAACACAACTGAGTAAAATAATTAACCTGTCAAGAAACTGAAGAGTAAAAACCCCAAACAAGGAATACCTGTACAGCAGGACTTCATTATTTCATACATACTGTTATATATTGGAAATAAAGAGGAGGCAGGAATAACTAATTAAAATTGGCATTGTTTATAAACTGTACTAGCTAAAATAGTTTTACATGCACAAGTCTGAAAAAAAGTTTTTTTCCCAAAAGGAAGAATAATATGGTACAAATTTTAAAAAAGAGTCAGTAGATGGCAGACTGACAGTATAGAAAACAGTATCAGTGATATCTCAGAAGAAAAAGTCTTATGCCTTCACACGTGTATGTCTTTTTATAAAATCCTGTATTTTATTATATACAGTCTTTTGAGCATGGGAGAGAAGTTATGAGCCGAACTGTTATTTCATTGGTAGATGTTTTGCAGATTTTTATTGAAAAATACACGCTGTTAGATTAATGTTTTTAGAAAGTCATCAACCTTTTAATTTTATACTCAAAGCCTCCTGTTAGTAATTGGCTCATAACAATATATCTTGTAAAGGGTTGCCATTCTGAGCTTCTCAGAACCTAGAGTGCTTTTAATCCTGAAGTACAGAAGCTAAATTTATGAACTAGTAGGGTAATAACCACTGGAAACCTCAGAGCTTGATTGAGTGGTAGCTCTTAGTATAGTAGGTAACTGCACTGCCAGTATTCACTTTGATGTAAACAATGGTTTTTATTATCACATATGCAATTCCCTAAAAGGTATTTGTTTTGAATTTGTTATCATTACATTTTTGTGGAACAGCTAGTATTGAGAAGAACATGACCATATATGGTAGTATACATAGATGCATGCAGGGGATCCAGAGCTCTTTCAAAAGTTACTGACTTATTAGCTGTGTATCTGCTGGCGGTCCTTTTAACTCAATTCAGTTTAGAATAATGAGGAACAGCAACTCTAGTTTTTCTTAGAAATAGTTCAGTTAAAATGTGACAGCATTTCTATAGTCTAGTGAACAAGCAAAATGTATGGTTTTATTTAATAGAATGCATTTCAGATTATTGATCTATTCATCTCCACAAAGAATGGAGTTAAACTGGATGAACATTTGGCCTCTTTTTCCCCATCTTTATCACAGTTGATAAAGAAGGCAATAACTTTGAATAAAGCAAGGATTCTGACCATTTAATGTAGCCATTAGTTGCTTAGTCCAAGTTACTGCACTACTCTGATTGTATGAGACTGAAAAATCTATGTTCTTGAGGCAGGCACTTTCATCTAAACAAAGAATTTGTAAGAACAGGACCCCACAATATAATTAGAATACTAGCAGTTTCTCTCTCCAAATGTTTAACCAAGTTAATACTAAGTGATAATATTTTCATTGTTCCCATGGGAGATGGACATGCTGAGATAAAGTATTTTAGCTAAGGTCACAGCTGAAGTTTGTATCAGAACCAGAACGGGAACTCAGGAGTCCTAGCTCACATGTCAGACTGTTATAGCACACTGCTTCCGATTGCTTCTGGAAATGAGACATGATGAGGCTAGTGAATTGCACATAAAGGGGACTCCAAATAAAGCAACACAGCACTTACTATTTGATTTCACAGACAGTAATGTCAAAGATACCCTCAAAATGCAGGTGACAGCGATAGTACCTGTCTAACTGTATCCAGCAAGAACAACTGAACTATTATGTCAGAGTCTGTGCTTTAACTGATGGCAGATATAGACTCTCAAATCCAGCTCCACAGCCATGGGATGCATGGTTAGTTTTAAAAAAATCTAAGTTCACATATGTTTGGAAGCTGGAAATATTTTTACCCCGAAGAGAAAAGTAGCATCTCTCTAAAGAGGTATTGAGACCAACAGCAGACTCTCTTCTCTGATATATTACTCATGAGGATGGGACTGGTTTTTTGGATAATGCTGTGCAACAGGCAGTGTGCTCCAGAAATGAGGAGTGAGGTGCAATCTATTCTTTTGCTTTCTCATCTAAAGGAAAAGACATTCTTAGCTGTAAGCAAAGAGGCAACACCGTTTTGTCAACTGCCTTTTGATTTAGGGCACTTCCTGTACTCTGCTCTAGGCAAAATACACTAGCATATATTAATTGTAAAGAACAAGTGTTCAGCTTCTGACATTTGACATGTTAAAACAAGGGGTGTGAAGACCACATAGAGATGGCTTGTGGCAGGAAAGGAGGAAATGTATCATCCTCTGAGAATTTAAGATGGGTGCCCCTATGCAGTCACAAATATATCTCTATAACACGCATCTCTCTGTAACTGTGTAATTTGGTACACTTCAAGGGCACACATTTTTTCCTTCTATAATATTTTTGAGCTCTAGAAAGAGGTTGTTTCTAGCAGGACATTTTGACTAGTAACGACAGCAGGAATAATTTCCGGCAGGGAAAATGTTCTACTTCTCCAGTTAGTTTGATGCAAAAAGCTTGCTCTTATTTTGGTTAAACTAGGACCCTGCAGCATATTACAATATGTATTACGGCACAGCTCTTGTTAAAATAAAAAGAAAACCTTGTTTTAGTGCCCAGATACAGACAAGGATGCAGCAGGATTGTTGAGGTGGCAGAACACAGCTAATGACCCCAATACTAGCTGGCGGGTTGTTCCAGTGGACTTGGAGAGGGGAGTAAAGAAACTATGTGGAAGGTTGTTTCTCTCTTGGCAGCTGTGGGGAGGGGGAGTGAGTGTTTGCTGAAAAGGGGGAGAAGTATCTGTTCATAGGGGAGAATCATGAATACATCCGAGTCCATTATCTGTAAGCTTTCCCTTGATGCAGACAGAAAGCTTAATGTGAGCAGCCATGTATAGCTCTAGATACAGCGACCAAGACCAAATCTCTCTCTTGGTTATGTCCCTCTCTTTGAAGTCCATGCAGGCTGCACTAACTGAAGATTCTGGGTGCTTTCTAAGGAAAACCTTGAATAAAGCAGAATTGGGATTAATGTAACTACTTATAAGGTCTGGCTGCACAACGCCCTCTCCAGAAGCCTACCCAGCATGGAAGATATTTTGCAGAAGCTTAGAGTATTGACTTGGGAGAGTTACAGGCCTTGACTGCTTTCACAGCAAGCACGGGCCTCACTTTTTAGATCCACTTCTGTATGTCAACACTCACTACTTAAGCTTCCAGTGTAGAAAGCAAAATTGAACCTGCTGTTTCATTCAGGATGTCAGCTACTTGTAATCATGCATGAGAGTCCTCTAATGCAAGTCCCCAAAGAACCTGATGCCAGAATCATTTTTTTTTTTGAGAATAATGGATCAGGCCCAATGACTGGCTGAAGACTCGGTTATGCTTTCCTGATGCATATCCTCAGTGACCCGTCATATTGCCTTCAAATGTTGCTTTTTTTATAAAGGGCAACCTTGAAGTTCCTGTTTAAAGGGCAGGTTTCCCCCAATATCAGTCTTGTGCAATTCTCTAGATTCTTAGACTAAAATGTTTTATACTCTTCTGCTGCCTTTCATTTCAATGAAAAATACGCTGCTGGAACAAGCAGTATAGAAACTGTAGGAGCTCACCTTCCCCCCTTTCTATTTCACAGCTTTCTTTTATAGCAGCATTTACTAGATCTGCTAGTTCAAATTTTGCAGCTCTGGTTCCCTTTGATACTGTTTACTGCTCATCAGAAATATTCAGCAAACAAGTAAGGATCTGTTTCTGCTTCAGGTCCGCAAGAGCTTTAAGTGCCTACAAGTCTTCTAAGACCCAACACCAAGACAAATTTCAAGTCTTCCATCTCTCCTTTGCTGGAAAGCTAGCTGCCACATCATGTAGTTGCTTTATAGTTTCTGCTCCTGGAGGCTGCACCATAAGTTAAATGGAAAGCTTGTGATTTTTTTTTCCTAGCTTGCACCACACCTTCAAGGAAACTACAACTGACTGAATTTGCAGGATTGTTTGAGTCAGTGTCCATCACTCTCACATGTCTCATAGATCATATTCCCATACATTTTCAGCAGGCAAACCTTGCTTTTTTGTGTGGTTGTCCAAATCAAAACAAAAATCTGTGGGGCTAATCCTTGTATCCCCAATCTCATATTTTACAACTCTTATGCAAAGGGTGGTGAATGCACCCAAGAATTTCAAAGAGGCTTAACTCAATCCTTAACAATAGGAAGCACTAACTAACTTACACCAAAAGTTCTGCCTGAATCAGGTGCAGTTACAAGAAACAGGAGAAGACCTGCGGCTCATTTGTAGCATTCTGCGGTGCCTGCAAGGTGCTTGTAACTTCTGTCAACACCTGTTGTTTGGTATGATAAGGAAAGGAGGCTTGAATGTTTTCTTAATCTTTTGGCAACTAAGTGTGAAAGAAAACCTTGGTCCTTGTCTAATCTCTGACAAGTTTTTCACTGCACTAGGAGTTTTAATCTTTTTTTTTTAATTAAAAAAAGTGGTGGTGGTGGTTTGCTAGGTTTGTTTCCATTATTCTTGTCCACATATGTCTTCTAATTAGCAATATTTCACATTACAAACCTTCACTGTGTAGTTAAATCTGAGTCCTGGCACTAGTGAAATCAATATCAAAGCTCCTATTGACTTGAATGGTACTTGAATCTGGGCCTTTAGAGAATACCATCTCCATGATTGGAACTGTGCAGCTCTACCAGCCCTTTTGGCAACAAGTGAGCATTTTTGCTTTAATCTGTACAGAGGTCAAATAGCTTTCTTTTTGCAGTTCTTTTCCAAGGCTCCTTTCACAGATTTGTCTACAAGGTTTGCATACCCAGAAACCTGGCAAAAAGAATTGGCTATCAGAAAGGTTCTTTTTAACAAAGACTGGCAGGCCCACTGTGAATAATGGGACTAAAATGCCTTTGGTTTTCTGTTTAATCTTACCACAGTGGGTACAGATGGTGCACACATGAAATGGGTGAATTCTCCATCTGGGGTTGTTCTGACAAAATTGATGACAGTATAACTAAGGTTTTTAAAGCAGTGTACCTGAACACAGTAGTACGCTGGGCAATATCGTGATTTGTTCTCCCTGTCACCTTGATAAAGCAAAATTTCCCACTGGCTGCAAGCAACATGTTGCTTGCAAGCCATGGGTTGGGGTACCACTGCTTTAAAGGAAAGTCATTTGATTTTAGGCTGGAAACTTTAAAAGGGATCTGAGGAATCCAGTATCTAACTTACATTCAGTTTCAGTAGATTTTCACCACCAAACTCCTTTAGGCTTCTCTACAGCTAGGCTCCTGGTTTTAAACTGTGTGGTGGCTTCTGTGTGGCAGACCTTATTCTCCTAAACCCAAAGCATACCCACCATTTAAAAAGAGCCATTCTTTCAGATGCAGGTTTTTTCAAGTAAGACTATAACCAAGTGGTGACAGTGAGAGTAAAGCATGACCACTTGCCCAAATAGCCAGCTATGTAAGTTCACACAGATCCCAGCCTCTCCAGTGCCTGTTCAATTAGCAGTCCATTTTACAGATTGTGGGAGTTCTTTGAACTTCCTCAAGATGAGCCCTTAGTGGCCTTTAGTCTTCATGTCAACTCCCTTAGGGTCAGTGTTTTGCCTGAGCCTTGTAAATATTTAATTCTCAAAGAAATTGAGCTCTTTTCATCTTTTCCTTTTTTTTCTCCCTTTTTTTATCCTAACTACTTTTCCTCCCCCTTTTTGCTGCCTCAGATTTCCTGCTTCTTTTTCTTTCTACTCTTTTCCTAATTCTTCTCCTTCCTGAAGAAGCAGTTCACCCTCTTCTGTGTGGCTTTTTCCTCCTTTCCTCTTTGCCATCACTGATTCCTGCCTTCAGTTCCCTTCTCTTTCCATGCTCTGCAGTAAGGGACTCAGTGGAGTCTTTAACTTCTGTTAGAACAGGGTGAAAAGTGACTGCTTTTGTTTCCTAAACCTAAGCTGTGGTGTATATGGGTGGGATGGAGTGCTACATGGAAGAAACCTACAATTGGTCTAGCCATCGCTGTTTCTGTTCCAGTAACCCCGCAGTGGGTAGGTCATCTGTCAAAAAGTGGAAGAAGCTTCTATAAGTGTCCTGCTGCTTCCATCTAAAAAGAGGAGCTGGAGTTGGATAGATATTATGTGTTTGGAAAGGATACTTGATGTGACAAGATTGTTTTCAGCCTTACTGCATTGTAGGCACCTGGGACTGGTTGGTTCCCTGTTTGGTCCTTCTGAGTGATGCTACTGCACAGTATTTTATATAACCCCTTATCATCCAAAATCCCTCTGGAACTCTTAATAACTCCATTCTGTCCTAAAAGGATTACATCAACTAAGTAGTGGTGGTACATATAGAATATACATTTTATTTAACTTAAATCTTCTATGGACAGAGCCTGAACTTCAAGGTGACATTCAAAACTGTAACAATAGTACTTTACTTGTTGTGTGAATAATATGCAATCATGTTTTGCTTGAAAATTATAATTCCTTTTTTTTTGCTTTCTTATAAAACATTTTGTTTAATTTTATCAACAGGTGACTAAGCCAAAATGTCGCAGAAGACTCAATTAAGTGATGATGAGAAGTTTCTCTTTGTGGACAAAAACTTTATGAATGACCCACTTGCCCAGGCAGATTGGTCAGCCAGAAAATTAGTATGGGTGCCATCAGAAAAACATGGATTTGAAGCGGCAAGTATCAAAGAAGAGAAAGGCGATGAGGTTCTCATTGAACTGGCAGAAAATGGAAAGAAAGTTACAGTCAGCAAAGATGACATCCAGAAGATGAATCCTCCAAAGTTTTCCAAAGTGGAGGACATGGCAGAGCTGACTTGCCTCAATGAAGCTTCAGTGCTGCACAATATAAGGGAGAGATACTTCTCAGGTCTAATTTATGTAAGTAGACTCAAGAGATAAGTGGGTCCGCTCATGTTTAAGTGCTCTACTGAAACAGGGTCATAATTCAACTGTATATTTCATACTTCATCTAAATTCAGTTTTTGTTGGTCAAGTCTTTGTTCACAACAAATTGGAACCTTTGCCATGCTCCCGTGAGTTGGAATTGCATAGCCTTGGCTTTCAAGGTTGGCTTTTAGTCTACATGGATCTATGCCTTTATCCAAACACTACAATTAATCATATTAATAGCTATTACATGTAGAAAAAGAGTCCACAAAGTTCCTAAGGAACTTAGTTATTGCTAGTAGAAATACAGAAAATGTGGTAGTTACATAATGGCACAAAGGGAACTTTTAATTATCCAATAAAACCATTTAAAGTGGTAAAATCTGATGCCTTTCCTAGGGGAACTTAATATCGTTAGCAACAGTCAAGATCCCCGAAATTCACTTTTTCAGCCTCAGCATTTGTGTCTGTTGTTAGATTTTAATCTTAGAGATGAACATTTTGAACTATCAGTTGTTTTTTGTAAAGTGCTGTGTATAGATTGTTGAAGGGGCACCATCCATCACTTCTGTCTGAAAATGTTTTGTCTGTTTTCACAAACATAAAATTACTCAGCTAGATCAGAAGGGATATATTTCTCTTTTGTGTACGTTTACTTTGCACATTTGACGACACATTGTAAATAGTCTGTTCCATGGCTTCCCATATATAGTTACTCAGTGCCCTTCTAACGAGACTTTCGCTTCATAAAAGGGAAGAGAGACATTTACATAAGAAAATTATTTTTTTAAATCGTAGAGCAGACATTGTATCTAAAGGTACTTTAAACTGATTTCATATTACAGTAACTACTTTGAAATCAAGTCTATTAACAGCCCTAAATGAATTAATACTGAGTGCGATGGCACCCTTCTTCTGGCACCTCTGTAACATGGGTTCCTGTTACTGTTCTGTCAGGCAAAACTGCCTGCCTTTATGTCAACAGCTAACCCTAGTTTAACACCTGTCATACTTTTAAAGAGATAGTCTCCTCCGAATTGAATCAGCACCCGAAGTTTTGCACAGCCCTAGTATTTAAACCAATAGTCTTCTTGACATTGGTATTATTGCCATCATCTTGCTTAAGATAACATTGTCTGAACACTTCCCAAATATAAACTCTAAGCATGTACCAAACCAGTGTACAGTTTTCACAAATCATGATGGCCTTTGAAGCCTTATTTGTTTCACTGTCCTTCTTATGTAGTAGGCTGAAGCACTGGAGCACAGAGGGCACTGACACAAGTGACATTTTGCTGCGCAGTTGACTACTAAAAGCACTCTACAACTGTGCCCTTACAGAAGGGCACTGCCGCAGAGCATTTTAAAAGGACCCAATCCTGTGACAATCTGAACTCTTATTATATAAGGATTCAGATGAAGGGATTCCAAAGTGGAGCAGCTTCATTAAGTTGTATCTGCATGAGCTGGGAGCAGGGCTGAGCTGACTCAGCCCAGCCCTGCTCCCAGCGCTGTTTTCAGAATGGGAAGGGGGGGGAAGCAAATGGAGGGAGCTCGTTCTGGGGGTTGCCCAGCTGGTGCTGGTGGGTGGGACAGGGGAGCTACCCCTGCTACCTTTCCCCCCACCCATTATAAAAACAGCACCAAGGCTGGGAGGGGCAGGCCTAGGGGAGAAGAGCTGCAGGCTCACAGCCACTCTGAACTGCAGCTTGATCCCCGCAACCCCTTGGGACCTAACAGTGAACATCTGTTGGGCCTGGGGGGATTACTGTAACTCCTGGCACTTCATGCAAAGCTCCATGAGTTAGTGGGGAGCTTCACTTCTGTCTGCACCCAGAAAGTAAGGCTCCTAGAGTGGCTATTGCCTGGAGAACTCTGGGTATGTTACAGCATCATTAAAAATGCAGGAAAAAAAAGAAGGATGAAAATTGTCCCGATATCAAATTTCACACTGCTGTGAACAAATAGAATCTATCTTCTAAGCCAGGGGCTGGCAACTTTTTAGGAGTGGTAAGCCCAATTAGGAAAGCTGCTGTCAGCGGTATAAAAAGTAAGGTTTGCACCCTCGACCAGCAACTCTTTTATCTGCCTGCTACCACCCCAACCCTCCCTGCTCTGTGTAGAGGAAAGTTCTCTTACCACCGCCCGCATTGAAACTGCCCTTTAATCTTGCCACCAAATGCCACCAAGGGGCAATTTGTCAGTGAACAAATTGGCGGCTGCAGTAAGGAGACAAGAGAAAGTGAACAGAGAAGGTTGAGGCAGCAGCATGCTAATGGCTCATAGATTTCATAGATTTTTATGGTTTCAGATCATCAAGTCTGACCGCCTGCCCTGGGCAGGAAAGAGTGCTGGGGTCAGGTGACCCCAGTGAGGTGCTTGTCCAGTCTCCTCTTAAAGACCCCCAAGATAGAGGAGAGCACCACCTCCCTTGGAAGCCCATTCTAGATTTTGGCAACCCTCACCATAATTTTTTTTTCCTAATGTCTAATCTAAATCTGCCCTCCGTCAGTTTATGGCCGTTGTTCCTAGTAAGCCCAAGGGGTGCCTTGATAAACAGAATATCCCCTATTCCTTGCTGCCCCTCCTCCCCCCAATGAATTTGTACACACTTTCATCCTGGCCATCACTCCCTTTGCCACTGCCACCACTGATTTCCTTCATGTACTGATGTCCTTATGCATGTGTACCTGTGGACCAGATGCACTTGCTTTATGGGCTGGATTCAGGCTGCAGGCCATAGGATGCTGACCCCTGTTCTAAACAGTCAGGTTCCACAAACCCAGACCAAAGGATGATAAAAAGAAAGCCTGTAAAGTAATTTCTAGCAATAAAACTTCCACAAATACTTTGAACAGAAAGAGCCATTATCAAGCATAATCTGAATAACACTTAATATCACCCACATGTACATGCTTCATGGCACTATACCATTTCTACCCTAGAGATCAGATAGTAAGTGACTATTATATTAAAATATAAGAAGTGTATGTTTAGACTGGATCCAGAATTATCTTGCGGAATTATCTTTCCTTAAATTTGGTTTTATTTAACAAGATACATTAACCCAAATTTATGATTACAGGTAAAGTTTTAGGGTAAAATTACATTCTTGAGAAACATCCTCTGCCAATACAGATCAGCATAGCTCCTTTGAAGTCAAAGCTATGTTGACTTATACCTGCTGTGGATCTGGCTCTGAATTTCTCCTGTAGTGTTTGTCTGTCATCCCTTGGATACGGAATTGGAGTCAGTGTGAGAATTCTTCAGTCACAAAGAGCAGTACTTTAAGGTTGAGGCCTACCCTTCAGACTAGAAAGAAGCTGATTATCCTTGAGTCCTGCAGAAGGGATTTTTCAAAACTGTTTTGAGACTAGGTTATTTTAGACTGGTCAGGCTCAGAAGGCCTGGCTGTGCCTTCTGAACCTGATCACGTAGCATCCTTACAGCATGATTTGAAGTAGGAGGGATATGGGTGTGATGCTGGTTCCCTTAAGTGCATGGCAACTCCTTGTAATGTTTGGGGACCAGGTTAAAAACAGTGTCAGACGAGCTTTAAACTCAAACAAAATGGTGGGATTTTAACAATGCAGATGGTTCTAACAGGAGATGCTGTGTTCTAGTTTAACACAATGTTTGTGCTCTTTGTGGTCTATTTAATTTTAAAAGGCTTTATTCACTCTATAGGCACACAAATTGCCATGTCATGGAGAGGAGGTATCTCTGCAAGAGTGACCTCTGCTGGCTCTGCCAATCATTTTTGAGCCTGGGATTGGCTGGATATATTTGATGGAAGCTTCCAAGGACATATGCTGAATCACCATAGCTCTTGCATACTAGAGCCTTGCCCCATGCCAAAGAAGCTCACTTGCTCTTTGAGCTGTGCCTGGGGCTCATGACCCTCTGAAGTGGGATCTGGTCACAACTGTCATTAAAGAGTAATCCTTAAATTGACCATCTTATCTGCACAGAGCTTGACATTCACTAATTTGTCTTCCCAATACCTTTCTAATTATTGCAAAATAGCCTGTAACTTGCCCAAGATTACACAAGTCTGTCACAGCTCCAAGTTGATTCCAGGAGTCCTGGGGTTGGATCAATAGCTTGTTTGATCTCTGTACCCTAAGAACCTGTTCACTGTTTTCTTTGTCTTGTAAGGTTTTAATTGGGTTAGGTACTTAATGACATGCCTCACTTGAAGTACATAAGTCATCCTATGGCATTACTTGCATCACTACGTAATCAACATGTCTTTAAGTTCTTTGCTGACCAGAGGCCAAAATTATAGCTGTTCTTGAATGGAAGACCTAAACCTTTTGGGGAGGAGGTCAGGTATGCTAGATAGAAGTCCATCCCTTGGATGAAAGTCTGGCTGTTTTTACTTCTGAAAGCTGTAAGAGATCAATCTTGTAAGAAGGAAACTCCACTGTCCCTACAATACAAGATCACTTCAGAATTTCAGAGTTTGGGGTATCTCTTCAAGACGTCCAAGAATTTGGTATTACTAACTAATGAACCCCCACTCCCCATGCCATCAGTTCTAGCCTAAGGACTTTGAAAGCAGGTGAACTTCCTGACCATCCTTTTCTCAATACCTTACTTGACACAGTAGCATGGCAACAACAGTCTTTCTAAAGGAAAAGAAGTGCGAGCAACAGGGGTCTTTATATATAACCAGTATGGACCAAAGGAGTTCTGCACACCCAACCTGTTTCTCAGCGCTGTAAATTGAAGGATAAGGAGATATAACTTGTAATACCATACAAAGCTTTCAGTCTGTTTTGAAACTTGTGCTGTTTCCTAATATGGTCAAGAAAGGGAAACCCCTGTGCTCCTGTGTGAAAACTTCTCAAGGACACGACTGATCCAAGCCTACAGAAGATGGAATTACGTATCCTCTTATGTCAGTTTTTTTGTGATGATACTGGGCAGTTTGATCCATGTTCAGACTTAGTCCTGAGACCAAGTAGGAGAAAAGCAAAGAGCAGTAGTGCCACATGAAATGGCTTAACTAGGTATTTTAAAACCTTGTAAGAGAACACCATATATAAGCAAAAAATTAAAGGGTGTTAGACTATATAAGTATTATAGAATGTAAACTAATAGTACTGTTTTCAAATCTGATGCTAGAGCTGGTTGAATTATTGATTACAGGTGTTCTCTTACACATTTTAGTTCCTTACTTGCAAACTGTTCAATTTCTCATCTTAATGCCTCCTAACTCACCAGATAGCTCATGCAAATTAATTTCAATCTAGGAGTCGATTGCAAAATTTTTCAATTTCTCTAACTGCCATTCATTCTTTGTAGCATGTTATGGCCATTTAGGTTGTGTGCTTTTATTTTCTGTTACTGCTTGGATAGCTGAAACCTTTTCAGATAAGAGACTGATAAAATGCTAAACATAACCTCCAACATGTAACCAATCCTCTTTGTACACACTTTTGAATTTCCTTATTCACATGTGAAAATTGCTTCTTAACTGAATGCCCAAAGCCGAGACATAACACACACAGTTTAACCAAAAACATTTTGTCAAGTTAGAATGGACTTTGATGAACCAGTCTTTGCAGTATTTATCTATTTCTACATTGTAAACATGCCACCTTTTACTCACTAATTCTTTTCTCCCACCCTTCCAATTATACCTAGAGGCTTTGGTTTATGCAATTTGCCATCTAGTAATTGAAAAGAAGGAATTTCACTTAGCTAAAATATTACACATCCATTAGGCACTCACAGAAATTACATCTGTTGCACAATCGGCCCCTTGAAAGCGCTCAACAGCCAAGTCCAAACAGAAGAACATGGCTGCAGAATGCTTTGATCATGTGACAAATTATTGCAAGATGAAGGTGTTCCAAAGGTGAGGGCCCCCCCTTCCCCACTCCAGTGCAGCTGGGCAAACCCCAGAACAGGCCTCTTTCCCCTGCCTTCTCCCTCTCCCATCCTGAGACAACACCTGGGATGGAAGAGTGGGGGCAGAGTTAGAGGAAGAGGCTGCAGACTGGCGGCCTCTCTTGCTGGATTGGCTCTAAATTGGAGCTTGATGCTGCACTCTTCCGACCAAACAGCTAATGTCTGTTGGGTTGGGGAGGTCAGTGTAACTCTGTAGAGTGCCATGAGTTAGACCAGGGAGCTGCACTTCTGTCTGTGCCTTATATAATATATATAATGCACGAGGGGGAACCAATTCTGTCTATTCTCGCTTTGTATCGCCTAGAAAGGAACTAAAGTCAAGATACCGTGGAATTATGCAACTGATGCTTTCATAAGCATTTGAACATACGCTGTAGTAGTTTGAGTGTTAGAAATGATTAACTGGATATTCACCCAAAAACTTCACGTATGTATGCATCAGTTTGAATTTATACATTTGTATTTCTTAATGTGTATGCCCTCTGCTTGTTACATAGGAGGATAACTAGGTGATTCACTTATTAAAACACTGTCTCTAAATAAATGCATTTTGATCTTCATGTTTCTCAAGCTCTTAAAAAGAGGCAAAAACCTGAGTCAACACCATTCTTTATCTGGTTTTCCTTGCAGACTTATTCAGGTCTCTTTTGCGTCGTAGTAAACCCATATAAATACCTGCCCATCTATTCAGAGAAGATTATTGATATGTACAAAGGAAAGAAGAGGCATGAGATGCCACCCCATATCTATGCAATTGCGGATACAGCATACAGGAATATGTTGCAAGGTAAGGATGGAAAATAACCAGGGTTAGTAATGTGATAAAATTTGGAAATCTCTCAAGATCATCAGAAAATACTTGTCATGAAAGTTTATTCCACCATTAGTTTCAGCTAGCAACAGACCAGCAATCAGAAAAAGATTTATAGCTTTCTTCAATTACAGAAGGGTTACATGGACTCTAGAACTTTCTTAGGAATTCTTTGGCAGGAATTGCAGTCCATGAACAATGTGACTCAAAAAGGAAAAACAATTCATTCACCCATCTGTGTAGAGGGATGTGGGCAGGGTTTTAAGTTAAGCAAATAGTTTTGGCAAATACGGGCATGGAAAATACTCCCTTTGTACCAATAGAGACTATTCCAAGTTTAGCTGCTAGGGTTAGCTGAATTTGTTTCAGGACTACTGTCATTTTGCTGCTGGAGAGTAAAGCCCAGTAAGATGCATGTGCCTACTATTTGTTTGCTTTCTCTTGTTCTAGAGCTGCATGTCCTACATCCAGAATTGAAGTACAATCAGCTTTTTGATGACAATTGCTTGTAATGATAAAAGGGATCAGGCCCAAAAAAAGATAGAGAAAAAATACAATACTGCACAGATTTTCCTTCTTATGTCATCACTGCTCTGTGACACAGCTTTGATCCTAAAAAAGAAACCACGCTCTTCAGGAAAAAAAAAAGTCTGTTTATAATGCTATACAAATACAGGGTCTGCTGCCTCAGAGCCAGGCACAGACTTGTCTTAGTTAAATGGAGCTCTGATGAACTGCATTGTCACTTGATCACTTGTTAGGAGGTGGGAGTATTTAGCAATTGAAAGATGTTTATTAAGATTTCAGTTCTATGGTCTGCATTGACTTAAATAGTGCCTGGGCAAGAGCTCCTAGACTGGGCCCTGAGGTGGTCTGACTTTGAAAAACAAAGCAAAGGAAACCTAATTTTTCAGCTTCTGGGTGTATAAGGCAGCACTGCCCTGGCTGCGTAAAGATAAATAATCCCACTTAAATCCTGGAAAACTTAATAGCTGCCATAATATATCAGCCCTTCCTAGCTCTGTGGAGAATATGATAAAAGAAAATTTGCTTTTCTTGTTTGAAAACCACTTGGCCCCTATAGTTGAGTGTGAATGGAAGATAGGGTTACACAGTATGACACGTAGAACAGGGCTTTTGACACTTCTCTGCATTGCACAGAAAAGATAACCAAAAATTGGCTTCCTTCCCCTAATTATAGAAGCCTGGTTACTTATAAGCATACACATATAAAGTTCTCTAGTACTTAGATTTATGGCATAAGCATACTGCAGGGCAGATGCTGAAATTTAGCTTCATGGGATCTGGGAAATCTCTCATTTCCAGAGTACGGTGGCTGTGGCAGTGACAATGTAACCTACCTAGTGTAAACTGGTGCCACTATACCCGTGCAGCTTCAAAACTACCCCATAAAGTTACTGCTGCAATGTATCTAGTGGTGAGAGCCAGGAGCTCTGGCTAAACACTGCGATGAAGAAGCATAAGCCAACAAAGTCCAGGCTTCTGTGCCTCAGCTTCCCCATTAGAGTCCGGCAGCCTGGTTGCTGCATCTCCCGCACCTGCCATGAGTTAGCTGGGGCTACATTCCTGCTCTGCCAGGCAGAAGGCTTCCTTTGTTCCATAAGAAGCATGAGATCCAGTAAAATACCAGGGAAGGATAAATCCAGCAAAAGATGCAAGAGAAGGTTTGGCCATCCTACTAGGGATGAGAGGAGCAAAGTCAAAGCCTCTGGGAACTTCAGCGCATCTTGGGAAGGGCAATTACTTTGATTCATTTCCACTCAAAAGTTTTTTGCCTTAACCAATAAATGATAACCTGCCTGGGGCAAATTCCAGTGGAGTACTGGTTTCTGCCCAAGTCAGGGAGGTAGTCCACTCTCTTACTGGTCTTCTCCATTCTTGTTTGTCTTGACCCTCCTCACAGCCTTTACAAAACAGCAGCAGGTATCTTGAATTTGTTTGCCTTTGTGAGCTTGCCAGGGGTGGGCAAAATGCGGCCTGTGGGCTGGATGCGGCCCACCCGGCCATTCTGTCTGACCCACGGGGCCCCTTAAAATTTAGGAAAGTAATATTTATCTGCCCCTGGCTGCCTGTCATGCGGCCCTCAATGGCTTGCCAAACCTCAGTAAGCAGCGCTCCACCTGAAATAATTGCCCGCCCCTGGCTTACATAGTAATCACAAACAACGCCTGTGGGGACTGGAATTTGTGTGTGTGTGGGGGGTGGGGGGGTGGTTATCTTGTTGTTTGAAGGGTATTGCCTCGGTTTAAACAGCAGGTGGAATCTGGTGTTCCCTGCACCTTTCTTGATCTCTAAAGCTGGCACAAGCTTTCAAAGTCTCTTACACAATATTGTGATGAATTTGCTCATTTTGAAAATAACCTGACCTCACAGCAGAGAAGAGGAGAGTGACTGGATTGTGGGGGGAAGGAACAAAAAAGGGGAAGAAGAGATCAGAAGAAAGTATGTGGCTGTATTTTCGCTGTAACACCGATCCTGAACATATCAGGCACTTTAATGGGAGATGCAGTCCCATGAGATCTTACTTTGAAAGCCTAGGATGTTCAGGTTTCCCTTGCTTATTTGTTTGCACATGCTATTTTGGATTCTTTCCATCTCAGAAGAGATCCACAGCTGCTTTCAATGCTTTTAATGCTGTGCTTTTGTTTGTCAAAGTGCATCTGTGCTTTCCACAATTTTCTGAACCAAACCTCAGAATATCTCTAGTTACTCTGCCAAACTTTATACATGTAGTAAGGAGACATCAGCAAGAATGAGTATATGCAACACAAACTGACAGATACGTAGTTTGTGTAAAAGTTTTTACAAATGAAGAGTAAACAAGTTTTTTATATTCACAAAGGCTGGATCACAGTGCTGAATCCTAGAATATTTTCTTTACGAAGTTTTTCATATCCTGCCCCAGAGAGCAAGGATCAGGCATGTATACCAAATACTCCTCATACCTTGCTTTGAGGAGTGACTATGTTCATGATACTTAAGTGAATTAGTGTTATTATTTCTCCCTCATGGATGCCTGGGGCAACACCTTGTTACTATAGAGCTGAGCAAATTCTAGTCCATAAAGGGTAGATCTTCAGGTTGCATCAGTTGTCAAAGCTCCACTGAAATCAATGGAGCCTTTAGTGTAATTTAGAATAGCACAGGATCTTACCTCATCACTTCCCCACTATCTTCTAATCTCCTACATTATAAAGAGTAGATTCTTAAAACTTTGTTTTTTTCTTCCTTGTATTCCTTGCAATATTTTACAAGCACTGTAGAACAGACTACAAAAGACTCCTGAACTCTCGGTGTCATTGCATGCTGATAGAGCGCTTCATCTTTGAATTCCACGGGGCATGTTATGGCCCTAGTCACAATATAGAAATAACCAGAGAAATATCTTACCAACTATATTTTCAAAGAAAAGTAGGTATGTAGGTAAAGTAACTGGATGATTGTCATACTGAATTAGTGACTATGGTTATAGATTGATCCCAGGCAAGACCCCCCAGGCCTCTGCATTGAACACTACACATGCAAAACCACCTGCATGATTTAGGTGTCCAAGTCCAGTTGAGATTAATGGGAATTATGGATGTATCCCAACTGGCATCTTTCAAATTCCCCCTCCTTTGAGCACTGTTTTGTGGATATTAGGGTGCTCAAATAGCTGAGCTCACTAACCCCAGTAACAATTCAGACTTGACTGAAACCTAGTTTTTCATGAAGAAATGAGATAAGTTATCTCTAAAACAGAGAGAGTACAATGTACTTAAGAGCTAGGACTAAACAGTGTAGAAGAATGACTTCAGTTTAGATATTTGGATGTGCTTTTTGCTCAAGCATTGAAAGATGCCGGTTGGGATACATCCATAATTCCCATTAATCTCAACTAGACTTGGACACCTAAATCATGTAGGTGGTTTTGCATGTGTAGTGTTCAATGCAGAGGCCTGGGGGGTCTTGCCTGGGGTCAGTCTATAACCAATAGTCACTAATTCAGTATGACAATCATCCAGTTACTTTACCTAGATACCTACTTTTCTTTGAAAATATAGTTGGTAAGATATTTCTCTCGTTATTTCTATGTTGTGACTAGGGCCATAACATGCCCTGTGGAGTTCAAAGATGAAGAGTTCTATCAGCATGCAATGACACCGAGAGTTCAGGAGTCTTTTGTAGTCTGTTCTACAGTGCTTGTAAAATATTGCAAGGAATACAAGGAAGAAAAAAACAAAGTTTTAAGAATCTACTCTTTATAATGTAGGAGATTAGAAGATAGTGGGGAAGTGATGAGGTAAGATCCTGTGCTATTCTAAATTACACTAAAG